ACCCAAACCAGTCTGTGATTCTATGACAGGGATGGCCCATGGAGGCTGTGATGGCATGAGACAGCATGGGACAGTATCAAGACACTCGGTTCAAAACCCACCACCAGATTCTCATTTTAAATTGGGGTTTTATTGTCATACAGTGAGGTTCAAGCATCCCCATGCAGCACCACACACCACCGTACCACATCTCGCTGCCCAGGGGAAAGCACGAGGCTGCGGCAACAAGCCCTGGAGTCAGGGCACACAGTGCTGGGCTCCTCTGCGCCCCTAAAAGACCTTTCGGGTCTGCTCTAAACATCCATTACAAATAGAACACAATTCCACAGTTAGGTTACAAAGAGCACAGCATGTTCCTTCCAGCTCTGCCTCCGGGATTACTTCAGCCTGTGTACAGGACACTGTTGGAGTGGTGCATTGCAGCTACCCTGCCACGGCTCAGTGCAACCACAATACATTCATTTATCAAAGTGAGATGTGTCTGCAGGAAGCAGAGCCCAAGTAAATGCATTCATCCCGGGCCCTGCATCAACCTGGCCAAGGCACAAATGTCTGTGAGATCCAATACACCATGCTCAGCGTTTACATTTATGGCTGCATCTTGTTCATCCATCTTACCCTGACCGACTCCAGAACTGTCAAATGCATCTCAGCCCTGTACCCACGCCTTGCTCGTCTAGATCCAGCACATAAGGAAGATCTTCTCTTCCACCATCCATCTTCCAGCAGCCAAGGAACCAACATTAGGCTGAATGCTTTACAACTGCAGGGCGTTTAGGCTCCAATTCATGCCTCCAAGTCCAAATCCAGTTTCTAGAGTGCTCCTGAGCAAGTGGAAAGCTGAGCCAAGACATCCCCACCGCATTCCAAAGCAGCTGCCTGTCAGCAGCACAGCTGTGTAACTGTCTTTGCACGCACACACACGAGTTCACCTTCAAACACAGAAGTAGTGAAATAAAAATCATCACTGAAAACTGCTGACAAACAGGAAGAAAACACCCTGTAATCAGGACGGTAAGGAGTTCCTTCTGGAGTGACCATTTCCTACAGTGACTTCAGCACAGTACAAGCACATAGTACAGGCACATTCCAAAAAGTTGTTTTTCTCATAGAGATCATAGATGTCCTGCAGAGTCTTGGTTTTCCTTCAACAATGATCAAGTTTTACAGCAGGTTGACTGCAGACGCTGTCAAATCAAGGCTTATTCTTCAGATAGTGCTCTCTGCACTGTAAAAAAAAAGAGCTAGTGATGGAGGGGACTTCACCGGGGGTGGGTGGAAAGGGGCCTCCCAAAGGACTCCAGAAGCCAAAAGCAGGCCTTTCGACACATTCTCCTGTGTTGGGCTTCCAAAAACTGAGATTCCTCAAGCAGCTTTAGTATTGCAGTCTATTGAGTGAGTCAATGTAATGAAAAGTGGCTCCCAATGCCCAGCTCGTTTCAACATTGTCAATTTTCCGGGCAAGCTGAGAAAAAGTACAAAACAACAAAACCAAACTAAGAAAGTTAAACCACAATTCTTTGGGAGAAGGAGAAGCATGCAAGATGAATACAGTACTGAATGTAATCACAACTGGTTATCAGCATTGTGGGGCCAATGTCCCTCCACCCACCCCCAATCACAGAGAATGTGTAATATTAAGAAAGGAAATCAAGGAATGAACTAACTGGCATGACTACTGCCTCAGCACCCTGATGCCCACTCTCCCCAGCAATCCATCCTGTGCATCACCTTGAAGACTTGGCTCTTCGGGAAGCCCAGTTCTTGCAGGAGGAAGGTGATGTACGTGAGGTCCATGCAAAGAAAAGGGCTGCTTCCAGGACTGATTTCCATGGTCTTACATACTAAGGAGAAAGAAAAGAGCGTCTGAATGCACACTGTGGGCTCAGGACTAGCATCAACCCAGCTTTGAAAAACCTCAAATGAATCCATAAAACACCTCTTGTCAGTTGAGCTACACAGTGATGGAACCTGTCACAATGGGGTTGAAATGACACGCACACATTAGCAGAAGCACAAAAGCTCTGGCACACTGGAAGGAAGATCAAGGCGTTCTGTATCTCCCCTAGGCCAGCTGAGATGCTTGTATCTCTCTGGAAAAGGATGAAAAGGGCCTCCAACTTTTCTTCTGTCTACTTCAAGCCTTTAAATATCTGAGCAACCTCAGGTATGTTATGTTTTCTGTGCATAAGCACTCCATAGATGTTGACAAAACCAAAGGGAAAAAAGACAAAAGAATAAAAAAAAAAAAGACAAAACCAAAATAACCCCCAACTTGCTTTCTCAGGATGAATTACACAAATGGTAGTTCAGATTTCAAAACTGCAACAATTGTTCAGTCAATCATAAAGATTCCCAAAAAGCCCCATGTCGCTTTGATCAAAGCCTGAGTCTGTGGTATTAAGAAAAGAATGTTGCCATTTTTAAGCCTGCACAGGCAGTTCCCTCGGCAGCTGAGGAAGCAAGAAGCTATGAGCTGGTTTTACCTCCTTTTCTGATTAAGAACCAAGCATAGGAACAAATCTTGAGACAAGAAGTAAAATGAAACCAGATTAGAACAGGTCATGCTAACAGAATGAGAACCCTCACACCAATTCTGAAAGCATGATGTCAGGTGAGCTGTTAACTGGCAAGTTTATTAGTGATTCTTGAGAGAATTTTGAAATCTGAGCATTATAAGGTTTGTCTTATGTAGACTGCAATAGCAAGAGTTAATATAAAAATAGTTGAGATTTTCAGAAATGTTGGTGAGATGCTATGGGGAGAGGTGCTTGATATTTACTTGAAACAAAAAAAATCAGGCTTTTTAACATGTCACCCCTTTGCCACCTGGGTGTGAATTTACACACAATTACTGCCGTGTTTTGGATTGTATCTTACCATATTTAGCTGCAATTTCAAAGTCACCAACAGTTAAGCTTCCTCCTTTTTCTTTATCTAAACAAACAAACAAAAGAGGTGGTCTTTTAGGGGTTTTGTATAAAGGCAATTGTACATTAAGCCATAAAAGTTTGGAAATGAAACCCTGAGCCACTGAAATCAATGACAAAACTCACACTTGCTTTAAAGCTAAAAGAACCTTTAAGAGATTTTTAATACAGATGGTAAAGCCTTGTTTTATGAAGAGCTTTTAGCCTCCTTTCCTAAAGAAACACAGTTTACAGACTGTCACCTTGTCCAAAAGAGCTTCAGATCTCATCACCTGCTTTCTACTGCTGAACAGCCTTCTTCACACCAGCATGCCACTGGGAAAAAGACAGGATGCATGGATACATGTGGAGTTATCTAAAAATCCTCATTCTATCTAAAGAGGCCTGTGAAGCCAAACACACTGCCCAAGATCACTTAGCTGCTGTACTGTCCAAGAAATTTGTTTATCATTATGAGGTCTTGTTTCTATTTTGGATTGTGGAGTGAATCACACAACGATTTCTGAAATGCAGACAGTTTGTTTAAAAACCATTACCAGAAGTTGCAGGTCATATTTCACAGCCCTAGTCCCTTCTCTATAGAAATTAAAGAGCATTCACTATCCAGTCAAGAGCAATGCTGCACAGCAGCATAACGAAAAGCTAAGTTCCATGACAGCCTAGCAAAGCATCATGATGTGTGTTATTTCTTCCACAGCTTGTGATTTAAAATGAAACTAAACCAGGAGCCAACATACCTATGAGACCAACCTCTGCTGCACGGTCATAGTAGTAGGAGAAAGTGTAAAAATCCAAGTCCTTCACTTCCTCAGCTTTATGCACTTTTTTGTAGAGCATCTTTGCCACTTTGTTCGAACAAGACTCATACAGAGGCTCACCTAAAAGAAGGCAAAGAAACCCAGCATATTATGGGCAGAGAGTTAAATATGCACACAATTTGCTTAGGATTTGCCAGGAAACAGTCTCCCTTTTGCACAACGGCACTTCGTAAATTCTTCACAGAGAACTGAAATCTGCATCTTCTTCCAGTGGCAACACTTGCCATCCTCATGTTGGGACTGAGTATGTGATAGATCAGAGATGTGTACACCATCTGAGGTAGGATTCTGACAGACCTGTTCAGGGATCATTCAACTCCACCTGCATTACTACCAGCAGCTTTACTGATTGGATAGACACCATGGCACAAGAGGGAGTTGCTGCAGAATTTCCTTAGCAGCATGTTGAGAGGAGCCAGACTGAACAGTAAACAGAGAATCCAGTCTCTTTGCAAGAGACTGAGTGTATCATTTACACAGCTAATAGCATGCTGGCCTAGATAGAGTGATAAATCACTATACCTGCCTTCTGTCCTTTAATTTTGTACACTATCTCACCATGCTGCCATTCAGATTTGAAGCCAGGAGGTAAACAGGGGCTGATCAGTTCCTCCCCTTCTCCTACTGCAGAAGTAAAACAAAGCCACATTAGGGAAAAACATGAGGAGTTAATTTCAGACCCGTGACTCCCAGCCCTACTTCATTCTGTCCCACAGCCTCAGCAACGCACCTCCAAGCCCCAGTCATGGCTCAGATGTCCCATGCCCTCCCACAGGGCTGGCAAGAATCCAGGTCTCCTGGAATCTAGCAGTGTCACCTCCTGCACTTGTCTCAAATGCACCCAGCCATGGTGACAGGAGTCCACATTCCACTAGGAACCTTGAGCCCAGTGGGAAGGGGACAGACAACTCCTCCCCTCACAACAGGACTATGTACCCTCTGCTCAGAGCCAAGACTTCAGGAGTGCCCGTAACTTACAGGGTTTTCCCTCAACTCCTCCTAAAATGGCGAGCCTTGCTGACAGCAGCCCGAGTCCCAGGTAACTGCAAAAGGATAAAAGCCTCCATGAACAACAAACATCCTTCCTCTGACACTCCACTGGCAACCTGGCTGGGACTTGCCAGTCTCCTCTACACAGTCCCAGCAAAATGGCTCAAGTCAGCAGCTGATGCACGCAAGGGGAATGGTGAGAACCCACCCTCATACTGCCCTCCCGCAGAAGGGTAATCTGTCTTGAAAAAAGCACAGGCAGTAGCTGTCAATGGTAATCTGGCTCTTAAGGAACTGGGAATGATGAAGGCATTCCCCTCACGTTCCTCCTACCCTCCTCAAAGCCAACACAGCCTCTAGCATACAGAATTGACTCTTTTTAAGCCCAAACACACCCCACAGCAAACATGGGTGGGAAGAAGCTGATTCCTTCTGCCCCAAATACTGGGAGCAGGAGAAGACAGTGAGGAGGAAGGAATGGCAGAGACAAAGCACTGAACTGACTACAAACTCCATTGTCCATGCTCCTGCTCCACTTGGCAGTGAAGAAGTAGAAAAATAGAGAGTGAAGCTGAGTCTGGGTAGGAGGAAGAGGTGGGGGGAAGGTGTTTTTGATTTTGTTCTTATTTCTCATTATCCTACTGTTTAATTGTCAGTAAATTAACTTCTCTAAGGAGAGTCTTGGTTTTGCCTATAATGGCAACTGGTAGGTGACCCTGACCCATGAGCTTTTTGTTGTACTTCCTTTCCCCTGTCCTGTTGATGGAAGGACAGTGACAGAGCAGCTTGGGGGGTACTGGTGGGCAGCCAAGGTTCATCTACACAATAACATGGTGCCTCAGGTTCCTCCACTCATTTGTAAGGACCTCACTTACAGCGAAACACCTAGATCTCAATGGCTTCATAGAAAGCTTCTGTGTGTACAGTGTGCACTTTCCCACAACTAACCTGTATGAATACAGCTTGTAGGTGTTGTTAAACATCTGAAATGAAGTTGTGTGGCCAGCTGGTGATGTCTGGAGAGTTGCCTGGAGGGAGAAAAAGATGTCACTGCAAGGTTTCTGCTATCAGTAGCAAACATCAACAAAACCTTCCGAAACAAGAAGGAAAAATGTGAAACAATCCTAGCATGGTTCAGAGAGACTTGACCGCTGATACACAATATAACCTGGGGCTAGAATAGTGTCCTCACATGACAGAGTCTAAACTGGTTACAATTCTATCTGAATCCACTCCAAACGGTATATAAAAGCATTCCTTTGATTAAAAAGGAACCCTTATTCCAGCTCTTAGCTACTTTTATCAAGAGGCTACAGCAACTGCCTCTTCGCATGATCCCTGCTAGGGAAAAGTGTGCAAACTAATACAAAAGCCAGGCACGCATTAACTTTCTACTCAAGTGAATTCAACTGTGAACTTCCACAAGCCAGAGGAGAAGCACATCACTGCTCTTGCCAAGGAACAGAGTGAGGACCAGCCTGTGGCCTGAAGAAATGAAAGAGTAATTATCTAAAGCACTTTGCAGCCTCTTGGCAAGTGCATCAGCACACTGGCGTGTTTGTGGGGAGCAAAGCTCAGGCCATGATGATATTCATAAAGCTCAGATCTTAACACCATCTCTAAGTCCAGAAATTCCACATTCTGGACTCTTCACATCCCCTGCTGTAAAAGCACTGTAATGATTAGGCCAGACTGGGACACTAGATACAGCATCCCAACGCTCTGCTTTTGTGCAGCTTTACTACAAACAGTACCTCTGCTCAGGCCAGAGCCTTACAACACCACAGGGCTTCCAACTTACAGAACACCTATACAAATGCCAGAACAGGAAACTGAAATGACAACCATCAGTATGTATTCTTTAATGCATAGTAACAGTTGTCCTTAGAACACATTCATTTGTAACTGAGGGAACTCAGGAAAATCAGAAACAATGACTGAGAAGGCATCTTACTGTGTTCTTAAAACCCAATATAGGCCAAATGTTGGGCCTGAATTCACTAACAGCATTTGAGTTCTTCATTATCAGCACAAACTGAGAATCAAGAATTAAGATGCTCAGGTGAACACTGTATTTTTCCCCCAAGATAAAGCAGCCCTAGCAAATTCATGACATGCACCACCAACCCACGGAGCTGGAGTAAGAGGACTGGCAAGGAGCTGTGAATGCCTCTGTGACTGATTGGAACAAGGCAGATATGCCCAAGTGACAAAGGGTCTTCTGTCAGAAGTGCAGCTTCATGTCACACTGACAAACTCTTACTCTGTTTCCAAGGGAAACCAATCTGAGCAGTTACTGATCTCTGCACCAGCATTTCCCAGCAGCATGCATGTTCATGTTACCTCGGTGCGTGGAAGGAAGGTGATCTGTGTTGATCCACCACCCAAATCCAGCATCCCCACACTTCTCTTCTGCGGATCATCTAGGCTACCTGAAACATGACAGAACAGAAAAAGCCATGGTGGACACGTAAGAAACTGGCTAGGAACAAACCCAGGAGTACAGTGGTAAAGAAACAGGACAATCTCAGTCCCTCTCTCAGCTTCCAGCCAGCATAAAATTATACTATTATCTACTGGGTGCTTATTTTGGTTTTATCAAATGTCCTGAAAATCTTCAAGTGACAGAGCTTCTCTCATTTCTCTGGGGCTGTTCATGCTCTAATTACAGCAATTTTGGTTACGGGGTTCCTAAACATTCTTTCAGCAGATGCAAGGACCCTTTTGCAAACTCTACTGTGGCAACCACTTCATAGCACAGAGGAATGTGGTTTTCTTGGCCACCTCTCCGTTATCCCTTAGTAATATTCTGCAGATTCCTATGGCCAAGGAGATGACAGAGTGAAAAAAGGTGGCCTAAGAGACTGAGCTCTCTTGGAATTCTTCCTGCTGCCAGCCCAGACCTCTCTTCTCATTTAAATCCTGTCCTTCTCAGTTAGATCCTTCAAATACACCTTCCTGACAAGACTAGCTTGTGCCACATACCTTGGTATGCATCATGATAGTTGCTATTTGAAGATCTCTGACCTTTCTGATATTTCCTGTGAGCACAAAAAGCTTTAGAGCACTTGTTGCATTGCTCCACACACCGTGTGCGCTCAACAGAGTGCTCGGGTGGCAGACTGCTTTACTTATTCTTGCAGAGGGCTTCAGCTTAAGTTTCTTTCTTTTACCCTTTAGCTACCCTTTTCTAACTCAGCAGTGTAAGTATTTGTGGTATTTCTAAGTTATAAATCTCTAAAGATGTAGCACAGCACTTACTTTCACTCTGTGCAGCTGCCAAGAACAAGTAGAATACCCACATTAAAAATTTAGCCAGAGCTAGTGGCAGGCTCTAAAAAGGAATAAAATGCTCTGGTACCCTACAGGGAATTGAAAGAAAGGCAACATTAAACACCTAGGAAAAGGGATTAAACTCCTCACCCTGTCAAGTAATGGCCCAAATCCTAGTGATTTATATAGGCTAGGCCAAAACCAAGTGTTGACTTGTTCCTGGATACTTCTTTCTCCCACTCCACCCCAATAAAGGAGCAAATCCCATGCAGGGGCAGAAACCAGTATGAATTCCACATCATTGGTCACATCTTTATGCACATGCTCATGTACACATACCTGTTAAAAAATTTATTGTGATCCAGGCTGAAATACCTAATAAAGAAAATATTTAAAAGACACATTGTTAGATCATAGCACTCCATTTTATCTAACAACAGTAACAAAGAAGGTGAGCCCTATTACAAGGGCTTTGTCGTTTAGGATCTATTTAGATGGATTTTAAGTTTAACTGCACCATCTAAACAAAATAATCAGCAAACCAGAGCTTGTGGTCCAACAACAGACAGAGACACCAGAGACCATGTGCCACAAGCTCCCTTGTCCCCCTTCACAAACGGAGGACTTCTAATAACAGTCTCCAAAGGATGTCTGGCTGAGAGCTAAGCAAGCAGGACCTTCAAGAAGGGCGAACAGGACTGGCTGTGCTGAGCTCCCGTGAGCCATGCTGCCCCAAAGCCAGTGTTTCCACAACTGCCAACGTCTGTCAAACCCCAAGATTAGATATCTTGAACAAAGTAAATGACCTTCTATACCAGAGCTTATGTGATATTTGGAAGAGAAGCCCCATACATGAAACTCCTGGAGAACTCTGTTTCACAGGTCAAAAACTTAGGCAAGAAGTCACAAAGGCTTCAGTGTCCTTAGCTAAAAAACACAAAAACAACTGACACTCACATTGTTCATTTTCTAGCAAGACATCAATTGGTAGGATTCTGTTTGATCTCAGGCACTCAGCTTTCTTTTTGAATACTAAGAATTTTCATCTTTTCAGTGTTTTGGATTTTCCTATTTTCCACTAAATATTCTTTTGAGGTGCACTGTTTCTGTTTTATTCTTGGTTTAGAAACCTCTTCTCCATAAATGAGATTAATCAGTGGGCCTCATGTTAACAAATTCAAATATTTATCCATGTGGTTAAAACTTGAGGCATGCTAGAGAACACGGTCCAGTTCAACCCCTGGCTCAACCAAGGCTGTCACTGCTATTAATGCTTTTCAAACAAAACAAGAAGAATTACAATGTCCTTTTTCCATTAAGCAGTAAAAAAGAAACTGATAACGAGCTCCAAACAGCTCCAGCTATTTTAAAGTCTGTTTTCTAAGCAGATTTAAAATGCATTTCAACTCTTAGTTACTTAGAATTTAGAAACGTTTCTTCCAATTATTTGAAATCAAGGGTGATTCTGGATTCTGTCCTCATCATTTTTTGATAAGCATCAAAAATACTGCAGCACATATTTTCTTCTAGATAACTTTTCTTCAGATTGAATTCACAATCACACTGATTAGATCAGTTATCATTAACATTATAACCAAATACTTCCAGAAATATCTGATGAGCATTGTCAAGAGGAGGGTGTGCAAAACCAGTTGTTGATGACCGTCTCAACAAGCAGATATTCAGAAACCTTTCCAGAAGTGCTGACTGCACAGTGGCTTCCTGGTGATCCCACAGGAACTGCTCGGCACTCAAGAGCTTTGAAAATCAGGACAGAGTTCAGGACTTCGAATTGGAAAACATAGCAGCATAAAAACTGTGTCAAATCTGCTGCCTGTGGGCTCCCACAACACTGAGTGGGGACTGGTCACTGTGAGGCCAAAATCCCCAGGGTTGCAGAAGGGGTTATCCTACCTTCATCGGTTCCATTCATTATTGACACACAGTTGTCCCTCACGAAGAAGGGGGAGGCCTGAAAGATCTCCTTCACCTGTAGTTCAAATAAAAGTTAACTCAGAGAAACCCTTTTTCAACTGGAAAGCAAATGTTCTATATAACTACAGTTCTACACAACCACTTCTCTTCTTGGGCCAGATCCTGACTGCTGCTCACCACTTTGTTTGGAGTTCAAGAGCCCAACAAGCATCAGCTATGCTGTGCTATTTGCCAGAGCCAGCCATGAAGACTGCTCAGAAATGCCATTAACAAGGATGGACATGGGCAGGGAAGGCAACTGGCTACCCACAAGGTATTATATATGCATGGGAGCCACAGGAGATGGACACCCTGCCTTTCAGGCTTTCACCCTGCTCCAGGAAATGGCATTTTTATCAGGAGCATGTTGGCTGTTAGAGGTCCTCTACACCACATCCTGCATGAGGTAGCAAAGCCCCGTGTTTCCAGAGTCCTCTAAAGTAACAACTACAGCAGTTCCAGCTGAAATCCAGTGTGGAAAGAATGGACCAGCTTGCAGGCAGCAGAGAACAATACAAACACTGGTTTCAACCACACCACATTTCTTCCTTCCAATTATTGCTTAGAAAAAGAGTACACTTAGTGTACAGTTAAACTTTTCCTGCAGCCACAAAGATTAGAATGCAATATTTTATTTTTATAACATTTTAAAATATTACGCATTTTACATGCCTATAAATACAATTTACATTATATCCAATCAATATAAAGGAGCAGCCTTGCAGCAGCAGGCTGATAACATGACCAAATAGCGTTCTTCTCAAAACAGCAGCATCCTGGTAAAAACCACCTCCAAATACACCCACTAAGAACAAGCCTGTGGTGACTGTTAGGAGTAGCTCGTTACACTTGTTATATGTCACCCCCAAGGCTAATTCAGAGCTGTCATCATTCCTCTGAGCTTGTACTCACAAAATTTCTCCCCCCAACTCCATTTGTGGTCAGGGTTAAATGACAGAAATGGCTCATGTACATGAAGATAAAGGAGTATGCACCTTACACAGAAGAGAGCAAAGTTTGCTACAAAATTTCTGGACAGCAAATTGAAAGACAAGAAGCAGTACCTTATCCAGCAACTTCTGTGCTTTCTCTCCTGGCAGCAACCGCAGGCCAGCTGTGGCTTTCAGGACAAGAGGAGTAAACTTCCACAGCTCCATTGGAACTTCCTCCTTTGCCACCTCCAGGAGCTCTTTTATTCCCTGGCCACTCTGTGAGCAGAGAAAGAACAAAACAAAAGGCATCTTAGAAACTCTTCAGCTTTACCTTTCCTGGAAGGGCAAAAGGGTGATCAGAGGTATTATTCACTTTAAATGTGGAACAGAGACAAGAGAGTGTCACAAGGGGTCAGAAGGTGGAAGGTGGAGGACTCAGTATATCCTACAGCATGACACTTGGTGGATATAACAGGCATCATCCAGCAACAGGTCAAAAACAAAAGGAAGAGGCACTTTTCCAAACAGTGAGAGAACACTCTGCCGCTGAATGTTCTGGCTACAAAAGGTTCAGAAGATACTATGGGAAATCAGTGAAAACAAAAAGACCTTTGAAGCCAGCAAAACACTATGAGCTGGGTTTAAGTCCCTAAATCTCTTCAAGCCAGAAGGTAAGGTAGATGGGAGAGAAGTCACTCAGCCTACCCTTCAGACTATTTTCCTGTGAATCTGATTCCATTCAGTTTTGGAGAAGGCTCTGCTCCATTCCAACACAGCTCTTTTGTCATTTTCTTAAGCACATCAAAATTCTTAAGGCAGAAGTAGGAAAAACATCCACTGTGCTTATCTACCACCACCACCAAGTGGAACTAGATGTGTTCTGTTCCTTGCTCCTCTGCATGGTGACCAACTTCTACTGTGTAAAATGAGACAGTTCCACACGCTGTACTACAGAAAGATGGGATTTGCAGGGCACATAAAACCCAGGAAATTTGGGGGCACGTGCTTTTACAGAAACAAAATTACCTTTTCAACATCATCAGCATATGCAGATAGACCTGGCTTCAGTGCTTTAAACGTCTCATGGGTCAATTTGGGAGTCTCTGTTCAAAAACAGCATTTCAAAACAATGGTACAAACAATTTTGCAGACACAAAAAGAAAACCATTTTACAAGTTACATCATGATGGAAGTCACCTGAAGCCTCTGTCTAATGAACTATCAACACCCACCCAACCTCTAAACACAGCCCTTGCTATGGAATTAGCTCCTGAGAAAAGCATTTTAAAAGTCAGGACTGTTTTTCAGGTGCTATGCATATATTTTTCATGCACATCAGTCACAGAAGGGTGCAAGTCTTCTCTGAGCCCTTACACCTGTCATGTGCGCCTTTCCCAACTGCACTGGTAACAAAGACCCTCACACTGCAGCCACGTTCTGGCTAAACCTGACTCCAGCAAAACTCAGTGGAAGCTTTACCATTTCCAGTGGTAGCAGAGGGAGCCAGTCCTAAGTATTCTGGAAACCTGCAGTACAGACAATTGTATGAACCTGCAGGCAACACAACATGAGCTTGACAACAGCATCTTCCTGTACCCAGCTACACTCCATTAAGTTTCCTGCAATATATTCTGAAATTGTGTTTAAAGAGATATAGGTGAAGAAGAAGCAAAGCTCATGGAACGCACTGAAAGAATGAAATCCATAGACTGTTGGTTTTGGTGGCTAAGCTTTACATTAGCCCATTCTGCAAACCTAAGGTACTCCCTGCAGACCAATCACACCTCACACCACACTGCTCATCCTTAAAAGCATCCTCAGGTCACCTACTAACAGCATCCACACGGGTCTTCTCACCTTGAAGAGTTTCACACGTAAGAATAGACAACACCTCAACAAATTAAGCTGGTGACTCCAGAGGAAAACTGGAGCTTTTTTGTTCCCTTCCCTATTGCCTCACTTCTCAGCAATACTTTCAGTCCAGGTGCAATACATGGCAATCTAATCACAGAGTGAAGTTTTGCATTTAAATCCAACACTAAACCTAAAGGATGCACTAAACCAGCCATTGCAAAGAGAAGCAACTCACTGCCAGGAACTAGAGACAACCAACAAGCTCATGGTGAAAATCTGGGGGAGTAAGGCAGTTTGAATGTGTAACTCCCTCTACCACCATGCAGTGTGATGAAAAACTCCTTTTCAAGGCACTGTTCTGAAGGTACAGCTGCTATTTCATCACATTCTGATATTACAGCATTTCCTCCCTGTTGAATGTTTTCATAACTTCATCCAAACCTACATGCTTGAATAACAGTATACTTCCTGATGGCTCTCTAGACAGAACTGAAGCATGTTTGCTCAAGTAATCCCTAGAAAAGAACCATCAGTAATCTGCCCCACAGGTTACAGAAGCATTCATGTACCATGCAATGAGCAGACTGTACCTTTTGGCTGCTGTGTGAATTTAAATATATGGATGCGAGTTCCTGTGCTTCCTGCATCAAACATAATCCCATAGAAGACCGAGAGTTCTGTGGTCGGTGCCTGATGGGTCAGTTTGTCTCCCCTGCTCTCAGAAACTCCTTCTGTTGCTCCCACAACTTGTTTAGAATCCAAGTGCCATTTTACATATGCAACATAAATAGCTATGCATGCCAAGATTCCGAAAGCAAAGAACCGCTTTGACATCTTCATGGCTTCCATTTATCAGATATTTTGTTTCTTCCCTTTATCAAACATTTTATTTCTTGACCTTTACACAGAACAGGTGCTTCCCACATCACTCCTATATTCAACAGAGAAGAAAATACATGTTTTATTTGCTAAACCTGATACAAGGATCTACGAGTATGAATGTTATTTGATAAGGGATTTACAGGAGTAAACTTGACTTGCGCATTAGTGAAATACGTAACTGTTCGTTTAGATCTGTGATAAGAACATGGGCATGGCAGGCAAAGCAAGTAGGAAGTGACTGCAACAAACAGCCTGGTAAAAAAAAACCCTCACTCAGTGTGACAGACCACTGCTGGCAAGTAGAATAATTTATGCCTGCAGCTCCTTCAGCATCTGGAGTAAAACCAAGGTATCAGCTACCGTCTTTAGTACTCAAATCTATTTCAACTCACCCAGGAGAACTTTCAGTTAAATGCCCACATTTATTCCAGTAAGGCAATGTAGAATCTGGATTAATTTGTAAAACTGGACCTAACAGCAAAATCCCTCTCTCCCACGTTGCTTGGCCTAAACATCAAATACACCCATGGCTGCTGGATACTGAGACTGCTCACTGGTTTCCCAACGGTTCAGGAGGAAAATATCCATCCTCCTTCAGCATTTCATTGAGATCTATAGCTAATTTTAAGACATGAAGCTGCAGATACCTTTTTTCCCTCATTACTACTGAGGCCTAAGAAGGACCAGAGTAAGGAGAATTCAGAGAAGCTGAATACAGTAACTGAGGTGGGAAGGGACCTCAAGAGGTCCTTCATCCAACCGCTCAAAGCACAGGCAGCTATGGGGACCCACCATGTTGCTCAGGGCTATATCCAACTGCATCCTTGAAAACCTCCAAGCATGGAGATCCCACAACTTCTCTGGCCAACCTAAGTCACTTGCAGTTATCTTTGCTACTTCCTGGATGGTGAAAATGGTCCCAGGAGGCTGGACAAGCACAGTTTTAAAACAGGGTTGAAAAGAAAAGATGGAAGACCCAGGGAATTATAGTACACACACCCCAAATTCAGTATCAGAAAAGAAACCACAGCAAAGAACAAGGCAAGAACAAGCACTCACATGACAGAATCACAGAATCATAGAATCACGGACTGCTTTGGGTTGGAAGGGACCTTAAAGCTCATCCAGCTCCAACCCCCTCTGCCAGGGCAAGAGACACCTTCCACTAGAGCATGTCGCCCAAGGCCCTGTCCATCAAACATCATTCACATGATTAAAAAACAGTGGTGATTCATGGGGAGCAAACGCCATTATACCTTTCCTTCTTCAACAGTATGATGAAGAAGAGAAAGCAAACCAATTGATGAGGTTGACTTTAAGGTTTTGGCACATATGTAATCTGTTCATGGTACAAATTCAGAAGGTGCAGAAGGCGTGAGAGGGAGGAATTTAAATTCAAGGTGATTCCAGCATAGTGCCAACAAGGGGCAAGACAAAATGTTATTAAAATGGAGGAGAGCAAAGTGACAGGCACAAATACACATGAAAACCAGGGCAGTGTAGGGAGGCAGGAATCGCGGGAGTCGCATGGCAAGGAAAAGAAAGATCTCCCTGGCTTCCATCAGCTGACACAGAGATGGGTGGCAATCCCTGCACATCTATGGGGTGCCTTCTCCAATCTTACTGTGCCAGAAAGGCCTCAACTGCAGCTATACTACAGCTCAAACATGCCACGGGAGGAAAGCAGCAGGATCCAGATGATCCTTTGAGGAAACAGAAGCCTCCAGCGAGGGAAAGGGGAGGCTGGCAGCGCGATGGAAGCGGAGCGACAGCATCCCGCCAGCGTAAACCCGCACCTCGCTGAAGAGAACCGGCGTTAACTCTCCCATGCCTTTGCCCGCGGGCGCGGAGACTTGCAGCAAGGGAGAAGCTTGCCGGCGAGGGCGGGCACCCGCGGGGACCGGCACAGGGCAGGTGCCCAACGCGGCGCAGGCC